ATTGAAAGGGAGCAATACTCCCCAAATCATTCCTGTAAGCAAGCATTACCCTAATACCAAACCCAGAGAAGGACCCAATCAAAAAAGAGAAGTACAGACCAGTCTCCCTAATGAACACAGATGCAAAAAGATACTGGCAAATAGAATGCAGGAAATCATCAAGAAGATTATACACCATGACCAAGAAGGAATCATCCCAGGGATGCAGGGAGTAGTTCAACATACGGAAATCAATAAATATAATACTCCATATCAGCAGAGCCAAAGACAAATCATATGATCATTTCAATAGATGCAGAAAAAGCATTTGACAAGGTCCAACATCCATTCATGATACAAACTCTACAGAAAATTGGAATAGTCTTTATCTCAATCTGATAAAAGCCATCTATGACAAATCAATAGCCAACATCATACTAAATGGTCAAAAACTGAAAGCTTTCACTCTAAAATCAGGAACAAGACAAGAATGTTTATTCCTAGTAACTCAGATTGTTACACTGTGGTCCACTAATACTACTAAAAGGAAGGATCCTTGTGGTGACGGAAATGTTTTGTATCTTGAGTTATCTAACTATACTGTTCGTGAGACAGTATTATAGTTTTGGAAGATGTTACCATTCAGGGGAAATGGATAAGGAATACAAGAGTCTTTTCATGTGAATCCAAAACCACACGTCCACCTACAACTATCTCAATATAAAAAGATTAACTGAAAATATCTTCTCAGGCCTAGGTCATAGCATTCAATTACAATGTCTGAGGTTGAGAGCTAGGCATTTTTCCGAGGTTATTATCATAGGGAGCAAATCTGTGAATCAGTAAATTAGGCATGTCAGAAACTTCCAGAGAGAGAAAATGGGCCGGGGGTTTAGCTCAGTGGTTCCACTGCCTCCCTAGCAAGTGCAAATATCTGATTTTGATCCCCGGTACTGAGAGAGAGAGAGAGAGAGAGACAGAAAACTTTTCTAAAATTCTATCTTTACATATATTTTTGTGAAAGGGAACAACAAAGAACCATCCCATTACTTTACGGCCAAAGCCCAAGTCAATATGAAGGAAACACTTCTTATTTTTCTTATTCTTATTGAACACTTGTTTTTCTTCTGGTAGGCTCCTAACCTTAAAACTTCACTAATCAAAAACTTAATCCTAATAACTAGTGTCATCAACTACTCCATTACTGGAATAATTCACTAAAAATGTTTCTAAAAGTCATTTCATAAGTACCACAGTCTCTGACTATCCATCTTCTTAAGTATAATACTCCATTAAGTCCAGGCTGAGCTGTGTTACATAAGTGCTGTTAGGTGTGCCAGAGTCTGCCCAAGGTATTACAGATGTATTGTTCTGTTCTTAAGGTAATGCTCCACCCATACCTGGCTAGCATTTCAGGTCCCTGTAATATTTATTTACGCCTTCTTTTCAAGAAATTTCTTAGAGATCCCATTTGTTACAACAAGCAGCCTCTTAGACTGAGCTGTAAAAAGAAAGGAGGGAAAGGGCGGGGATTTAGCTCAGTGGTTCTGCTGCCTGCCTCACAACAAGGTCTGGAGTTTGACTCCCAGTACCAAAAAAAAGAAAAAAGAAAAAAGAAAAGAAAAAAATAAAGAAAGGAGGGAGAAAGAGATTGAAACTTTCCTCTTGTTAAACTTGCCCCTAATCTGAGCTTTACAGCAAGTCCCACTTGTATCATTGAGAGGACTTTTAAAAAGGTTCCTCAGTTGCATGTTTTCAGGTATTATTATGCTCTACTTTTTTTTGACAGGGTCCCACTATGCCATTCAGGCTGGCTTTGAACTCACTATGTAGCCCAGACTGGCCTCGAACTCACAGCGATCCTCCTGCCCCAGCCTCCCAAGTGTTGAGTTTACAGGCATGTGCCACCACACCTGGTACACTCTACTTTTTGGCCTAAGCCTTCTCTTGGGACTTTTTCTTTTAAATTAAAATACTGATAAATGTATTTGTACAGTAGCATTAATGTAATGAGAAGAGTTGGCCTTATCAAACATGATAATCTGCTTTTCCTGAAGGATGCCATTTTTATTGCATTAAGGTTCCTTTGCTCGAAGAGGCCTGAGAAAGATACAAGGATTAACCCTGTCAGTCAAATCTTCTTTCTTACCAAGCTGATTTTCTAAGTGATTTTTACACTCCGGGAATCAGAAGTACAGTAGTGGCTCCATGGGGACTAATGGAATAGGAAAGTTTGAGCTATCTTTAATATTTGTTTTTTTTGAATTTCCAAGGAATCTCTTTTGGGTAAGACGAAGTTGTGTTGTCCATGTGTTCTAGTGAATGCATGAAAATCCATTTGCCATAAAGAAGAGCCTAACTCTTTTATCGTTAAACAAAACAGAGGAGCCAGGAGTCACTTTGTTCGAGACAAACTCTCCGGGCCCTACACATACACAGATGCATAATGTTAAGTTCAGTTAATGACAACCAACAGGAAACAAGCTGCACATGAAGATTACCTTTCACCCCATGATGTAAAGTTTCCACTCAGCAACATCTGGAGACTGCGCGGTCCAGAAGATGTAACAGACGACTTAGAGGCAGGAAAACCATACTCAGCCCTGGCTCTCTGTGAACACAGCTGTTGCTGAACCAATTCCCTCTGCCCAGAATTCAGAATCCTCCAGCCCCAGGTACCTTCATTTTGTTCTCGAAAGTCCTGGAGACCTCTCCCCACCGACAGCCTTTCCTTGGCCATTTCTCTTGCCCAAAATGTGGTTCTCCCAGCTGCTTGCCAATTGGCTCCCTCTCAGACTTCAGGGTCCAATTAAAATAATTTCCCTTCACACTCCCCCACTGCAGAGTTAGTCTCTGAATTGCACCCCGTTTATTTCTGAGCCTTTCTCCAGGGCTTGACATCTCTCAGAAAAATATCTGTGAAGATAATGTTTTTTTCCAAAAGTTAATAAATTAATGGATGCTTCCTTTAGCCAGAAACAAAGCAAAGCCACCCCCAAGTTCCCAGAGGTCACACCGCTCCTTCGCTGAGTTTTAGTAACAAATATTTTTAAACACACACATCCACATGATAATAAAACACAAAGAATATAATGATTAGCTCAGAAATTCAGGTCAGAGGCTGCATTCTACTAGTGGTGTGCAGGTTGGCCACACAGAATTTTAAGCAGGTACTCCACTGAGCAACCTGTGATCTAGACCTGAGTGTTCCAGTTCACATCTGTTCCTTCTTCTGACTCCTCATGTGCACCTGTTATCTGTCCCATTCATCCATTCAATAGGTATCTCTACTGCTTTGTGAGTTCTGCCAACCTCTTCAACTAGAACTTGAGCTGCTGGGGAAGAGGCATCACTTTGTTAATAGTAATGGCAAACATAAATGTGCATTTCCTACCGTTAGACATAATGTGATGTGGTCTCTTCAATTAGGAATAGATGTGACTCGTGGTTTCTCTTGTATGAAAAACTCAGTGTATAAATAGAGAGTGAAATAAAAGATGATAGGAAATGGGGAGATAGATTTTGTGGAGATGGGAAGAGAATGTGGGGAAAGGGGAAGGCAACAAGGAAGGGAGGAGAAGGGAAATAAAAAGGATCAAGATGTAATATGTGTATGTACTAATATCCTATGATGAATGTATGTATTATGTGTCACAAAAATATACTAATAAAAATTCAAAACAAAACAAAGACTGACACTAGAAATTGTGGAAGATACCTCAGTATTCTTTTCCAGCAAAAAAGAATTCTCTCCAGTAGATTCCACCTCAAATAAGGGTTATAGCAATGTGTTTCTGTGCAGTTAGGGACAAAATAAAGTATTTGGAGCATAAGAATAAAAGAGAAGGAAAGAAAAGAATGAACAGATGCAGTGGAGCCATAGTTCACACCCTGGCAGACCAACCACAGGGCCTGAATATACTCTTTTCTTAAACCTGAATCTGACATATCTTTGTGTGACCTTGGGCCATTTGCCTCAGTTTCCTCCTCTGTAAGATGGGAGGATAGTATCAGCCTCTGGTGGTGGTTCTGAAGAATGGATACCCATAAAACACTTAGAACCATGGCTGGCACACCGTAGCTATTCATTGATGCTAGCTGTTGTTACAATCATTGCTTATTCGGTAGGAAATTCCCATGTCCAGGGAAACTGTTCAGTCTCAGTCTTAACATAGAAAGTCCGTGCTTAACTTTCCCATAGAAAGTGTCATGGGGGTCCAGATGGCCGGCCTAGGCCCCAGAGTCAGCCTGTATTCTAATGATCACTCTCCACTTCCCTCCCTCTCACAGCCCACCTCAAAATTCCCCATCAGGTACTATAATTGACCTTTTCCTGCTCCTGTCACAGAGTTTTGGGAAACTGTAATCAGTAGTCTACACGATGTGGTGCAGGAATTGTTCTTCTACATAGCTTTCCCCATCTCTAAGAGCAAACTACAGTATGATGGTTGAGAATTGCTCTGCTAAGGCCCAGATGAATGACGTCCTGGCCTCTAGTGCCCCCTGCTGACTTTCTATAGGAAAGGCAACCGAAAGAGAAAATACGTGCTTGCCAACCCAGGTCCTGAGAGAAATAGGTATAAATGAAATTAAATTCATGTTTTTCTTTTCTTGGACTCACCTCTTTAGTTAGTTGTTTGCTTTGCCTTTCCGTAAGTCGGTTTTTGCTTAATTATACTTTTCTCATTTATATTTGCTTTATTTGTTTTAGGGCTGTTTTGCTCTGGAGCTGTGAACTTTTATCTTTTTCACTTTGGCGGAGCTTGACACCGGCGCGCGAGGGCAAGAGGCTGCTATCTCAGCCGGCGAAGGGAGGGAACTTGGCAGGTCTGGACTCTGGGGTCGTTCTGCCACGCTGGGTCAAGCGGAGCAACAGGAGGCAAATCCGCCCAGGTTTGGAGCGCGTGCTGTTATGACCAATGGGACGCTACTGCACGGCTGAGTGGCACGCAGAACTTACCAATGAGATTGCGCTTTTGGCGGTGTGGTCCCGCCCAGACCACTCCGTTAGGCCCCAGAGCCAGGCTTTCCCGGTTGGAAGGAGGGTGTGAGGCTGAGGGCGAGCAGCCCGGGGGACGCTTCGCGCCACGCGGATCCGTCACTCAGCCGCCCCCGAAGGTAGGTCGCGGGTCCGGACCCCGGCGTCTCGGACTCGGGCGGAAACGGCGCCGAGGTGACCGGGGGCGGCAGCAGGGCGGGGAGGCAGGGCAGGTGCTGGGGCGTGGCGGGAAGTGTCCGTGGAGTTAGCGGGGATCCGGGGAGTGTGCGGTCGCACGGGGCCCAGGCGGGTCGGGACCGGGTCCTGCGAGATCCACACCCCGCACCCTCTCCATCCATCGCTGCCTCGCTCTGTCCAGGTGGATGCCGCGTGGGCTCCTGTCACGAGAGAGAGGGAGAGGGAGGGGAAGGGGGAGGGGGAACTTTTATAAGTGGGTGTTTAGGCACACTGAGTTCGAGTATGTCGAATGCCCAGGGCCAAAGCTGTGGCAGGTGCCTTTGTTTTCTTTTTCCCTGCCCCTGGGTGCTGCAGGCTTAGATTTTGTTGTCTTCAAGGGCAGGGGTGAAATCTCAGGAAAAAGGTAGTGCAGATTTGTGAGCTGCTTTCAGAGGAAGCGTCAGTACCAACTCTTTACCAAAGCATCTATACCAAACATGTAACCTTTGTCTCATTCATAGTGGTTCTGTCAGTAATTCTTTCAGTTAAAATTTTGGGAATCCATCTTTCCTAAGTTATGTAAGACTTTCTAACTTGTAAACTCATAACCTCTTTGTAAGATTTGTCACTGTGTCTGACCCTATCGTTGCGGATACGTTTGTTGGTGACGAGAGCTGGCGTACCAGCAAGAGAGTCTTGAAAGACCGTTTTTTCCAATTTAAAGAGATTGTTGACTTTATTGTAAAAATGGATGCTAACACCAGAAGATCAAGAGGATTGCAATTTCTTCTTTTTAAAGAGAAGCCAGTGTGGAGAGGGTAAGCGGTGTGCTCCATCAAGGTTCCCTGTGTATGGATTTGATTTCTGCAAGAATTAGGATTGCTGGATCATGATCAGATTGTCTGAGCTACATGTAGTCAAGTGTGCTGGAGGAAGCAGAGCAAGTTTAAGACCTAAGAAATAGGAAAATCTGATTAAATTCATATTAGCCTTGAAAAAAATTAGAGATTCTTTTGAAGAAACAGAACCAAATCTATCCTAAACTTTCTGAAATTTATTTTTGAATCATCACTTTGAGTTAAAACTTTAACACAAAAGGATTGTAGAATATCATAATTCCTGATACACATTTCATTGGTTTTTGTTTAATGACTGCAATCCTTTCTTCTTCAGAAAATATTATGTATCTATGTGATTTATTAAATAGTCACTCAAGATTGTTAGGTAAGCATTCCAGTTACTTTTCTGTGATGAAATAAAAAGGAATTTTATATGTTGCATGTAAAAATAAATCATGTATAATATTTATATTATACTACAGATCAATATATTTATTAAATAATTAAATATTCCATTTAATTATTAAATTTATATTTAAATGTATTTAAATTTATATTATATTAATTTATATCAATTTATATTTGAATGTTAAATGTATATTATAAACCCTAATATTTATTTATAACATTTATTATTTGTTTATAATAAATTCTAAAATATCTTTAGGCCCTTGTTTATAGGACATAAAACTTAAAAAGAATTTTCAGCCAATCTCGTTAGCTTTAAATGATGCATACTACAAACAATACTAAGCTAAGAACTGTCATTACTTTCAAAATTTAAGTTTCTAGAAGTTTTATTTTTATTCAATACAAAAATGATCTTCCTCACAGTATTAATTGCCTAAAACTTTTAACATACTAAAATGTTCTTGGTTAAAGAGCAGATTACAAGAAATATTTTCCGTGTTCTTATTTTAAAAACAAGATTCTGGTAAACATTAAGAAACGAAATCACAAATGGTAGCTGAAATCTTGTCAACCTTCTGCCTAATAAAATGTAAATCCACAGTTACTATGTGTAAACAATTCAAAATTAAAGTTTATAATGGAAATATCAACAAGTTGTAAATACTACATATCACTCCTGATGGGTTTCATTGTAGTTCACCCAGGCACAGAAGATGTGCGCATCTGATAAATGGACTGCTTAATTAAAGCTCTCACACAAAATCCAACATGCATTTATGATAAAAACACTACAAAAATTCAGAATAGACGATCTCTACCTCAAGCTGATAAAAGCTATCTATGAAAAACCAACAGCCAATATCATACTAAATGGTCAAAAACTGAAATCCTTCACACTAAAATCAGGAACAAGACAAGGATGTCCACTATCACCAGTCCTGTTCAATATAGTTTTGGAAACATTAGCCATAGCAATTAGACAAGAGAAAGAAATAAAAGGAATAAAGATAGGAAATGAAGACAATTTGACATTTTTTGCAGGCGACATGATACTCTATATAGAAATCCCCAAGAACTCCAAAAGTCTTCTAGACTTAACTAAATTCAGTAAAGTAGCTGGATACAAGGTCAACACAAAAATCAATAGCTTTCCTGTACACAAAAAACAGACTCACTGAGAGAGAAATGGGACAATCAATTCCTTTCACAATAGCATCCAAAAAACTGAAAAACCTAGGAAGAAAAGGGGAAAAGGGGAAGGAGAAGTGGGAGGGGTAGGGGAAAGGAAAGAAGGGAATGGAATCAATATGAGAAAATGAAAAAATGGAAACAAAGGCTTTGTAAATAGGGAGGGATGGAGGGGTTGAAGGGAGGGCAGGGGAAGGGGGAAAAAATAAGAACCAAGAGAGATTATGTAAAGGTGCAAATTTCCAATGATGAATGTAACTGTATTGTATACCTAAAATGTACCAATAAAATTAATTTTAAAAAAGCTCTCCCACAGCAATACCAAAGCCATTAAGCCCTAACTCATTAAGGCCATACAAAAAATTGAATAAGATGGGATGTAAACATATCTGTTAGTTCTCTCTATAAAGCACTTTCCATTGATTTACAAAGCTATGGTTTCATAATTCATTTTGTTTTGTTTTGTTTTGTTTTGTTTTGAGACAGGGTCTAGCTATGTAGTTCATACTGGCCTCGAACTCACTATATAGGCCAGGCTGGCCTCAAACTCACAGTGATTCTCCTGCCTCAGCCTCCTGAGTGCTGGAATAAAGGTGTACGCTACCACAACTTTTTAAAAGGAAAGTTTTTGTACACTGCCACATACAGTGATTTCACTGTACATCCTTGACTACAACGCAGTCTTCAAACTCTCTTACAGAGCTTGACATATCACGATTCCTCCAGAAAGTCAGCTTGTTGTATTTTTAGTAGCATTTAGTGCTTCAGTAGCCTTTTTTCCCATTCACTTTTTTAAAAACTTTTTTTTTTTAAGTGCTGGGGATAGAACTCAGGAACTTGCACTTGCGAGGCAGGAATGGCACTGCTAAGCTAAATCCCAGGCCCTAAAAACCTTTTATTGGTACATATTTGCCATACATAGTGATCACAGTTATTATAGGGAATTTGTGCCTGTATATAATATGTTTTAATTCTTCTTTTCCCATTTCCCTCCCCTCCTTTCAAGCCTTCTTACCCTCTGTAGGAGACCAGCTTAACACTACACTGAGCAGGTATTAGATATTATTAATTTGGCTTATAATTTGGCTATTGATCAAAACTATGAATCACCACAAGGCCTAAATGTGAATCGCTAATTGACTTTTCTGCTGGTGTTTGGAGATAGACTTCGCTATGCCAATGGTCACAATTGAGGTCTCAGTGATCAATGAGACTGTGATGTCTCCATAGCAAGGAAACACTGCAGCTCGGGAACTATGACTCTGTGCAACCATTCTCTAAGATCAAACATTAGCTAAAGATTACACAGGTGGCTCATTAGCTGTGACCTCCAAGATAGCACAGGTGCCCTGTTAACTGTGACCTGGCCTTCACAAGAACACTCGGTTATTCCCCGTTTACAGCCTGGCTCATTAGTGTATTAGTTCTGTTATTCTTTACATCTGTCTTCATGCCCCCTTGATATGCTGTATAATCATAAATACTGACTAACCCAGAGCTCATGGTCTTTAGCCAGGAGTGATCTAAAATCAATTCCTGGCCCCTCAGGTAATAAACTATCATTTGTTATTCTTTATTCCTTGTTCTTTTTATACTATTCTTTCATCCCCTGCTGTACTCTTGATTCAAGTGACTGGGCATCCCCTGTAACTGCTCGAGCTATCAACCCGACACCCCTCCCCATTTACAAATGTTTGTTTCCATTTTTTCCCCTTCCATTCTCTTTATAAATCTCCTTTCCCTTCCTTCCCTTTCCCTGCTCCCTCCCTTGTTCCCTTTCCCATTTGAACATCTTCCTACTTCCACATAGCTACCTTCCATTTTGCCTCTTATAAACCCTTTGGGTTTCTCGCACAAGAGAAACAACATAATATTTAAACTTGTGTGTCTTATTTATTTCACTTGCCATCATGGTCTTGAGGTGCACCCATTTACCTAAAAATGTCCTGTTTATCCCTCTTCATTACAGAGTAGTACTCCATTGTGTATGAGAACCACATTTTCTTTATCCATTCATCTGTTGATGGGCATCTGGGCTTCTAAGATTTAGCTATTAGAAATTATGCTGCTACATCCTTGATAATTTCAAAAACTATCAGTTCTTTCTTGGTGCAAACATGAATCCAGATGGCATGGTTGCTCTCCTGGACTACCGTGAGGATGGTGTGACCCCATTTATGATTTTCTTTAAGGATGGTTTAGAAATGGAAAAATGTTAATGGATTTGGCAGTTACCTTGGATCTATCACTTGTCATAACTGGCTGCTGCTTGTCATCCACACAATACCAAGATTTTAGACAAATGGGACTGATATCATCTTGAATGCTTCGTTTATTTGACCGTGATTTATTTGGAGTGGAGGCATTGTTTTTTAGGGAAAAAGAGCGTGTCATGTAGGTTGTCTAAAACTAAAGTGCATTTAAAGTCATTTGAGAGAATGCTTCTTAGTTTAATACATGTATAAACTAAATCCATCATAGTGTTCATGGAGAAGATAGAGGCTGGTCACAGACCACTGCTAGAA